ATCTTTCCCGGACATCTTTCCCTGACATCTTTCCCTTCCCTGACATCTTTCCCTTCCCTGAGGGAAAGGTGCCCCATGCAAAATAAATCTGTATCCCGCTGAGAATTCCATCTGTGCCTCAGTGCCTCATCTATCTGCTCGTGCTCTCCACCACCCGCTCTCTCTCTCCCAACTTCTACTTATCATTACCATTCCAAAAGGGAGGAATGGAGGCCTAGTAAGGAAATACTGGACCAAAACAAGACCGAAAAACAGCAGGGCAAACACCAAACCCAGTAGCTCCACATCCAACTTCTGGGACTTTACTTCCAAAGGGCTTAGATGGCTCAGCCTCTCTAGCTTTGCTGCATGCAGCACACATCTCTCTCTTGTACTGGTACCACTCCCTGTATGCAGGTCTTCTTGGCAGATGCCTCACAGCTCTGGCATCACGAACTTCTTGGAGTCTCCATTGCGAACCAGGCTTCACCTTCACAGCTTCATGCAATGGCCTATCAGGGCCTTTTCTAGGCAGGGGAATCCCTGCTTCATGCTGCCCGGCCTCTAAGGCTCTCTGAAACCTCAGAGAAAGAATTGATGACCCCTTCACCCTTCCATCTTTCATGCCTCTAAAGCCAGCACCAGGTGATTGCCAAGTTTGACTGCAAGTTTGGGGTGGACTCCAGCCTGTTTATCCATTTTAGAAGCCTTCCTCTTCCATGACCCCTACAGCATTTTCCTTTAACAAGTTGGAGGCTTAACTGGGTGTGGTCTTGCCCTGGAGGCGCTCTCTCCATTGTTTAAGTTTGAATCTCTAGGCTCCACCTTAATCACTTTAATCTCCTTATCAATAAGATCCTCTCCATCACATGCCAGGGCTCCAACATTAGTCTTCCTAGTGCTCTTTTTCAATCCATCCTGTACATTCTGTATTTCTTTCTGCCCAATTTGCTCCTTTTCTCTGTAAATCTGTATAATATTCACCATTAATAGCCATGCCACCATTTCTACATTAGACTGTCTTGAAATTTCTTCCACCAAAGAAATTAGTCCATTACTTTTCAACTTTGCCTCAGGCAAGCTTTTGGGTCTAGAGCAGACTCCAGCCAGGCTCTTTGCCAAAATATCCCAAGTGCTGCAAAAGTCCTTATTTCCCTCTGCAACTACATTGTTCTCAGCACTGCTTTCTTCCAGGTGTTTAATAGAAAGGCCTGTTAAGCTCTGCTTACAGCAATCAACCACTTTTCTAGCCCAAACGTCCAAAGTCTTATAGATTTTTCCAAAATCCCACATGGTCAGGTTCTACACAGCCAACACCCCACTCTCTGGTACCAATTACTGTATTAGTCACTTTTCTGTTGCTGTGATAGAAACACTGACCAAAGCAATTTATAGAAGGAAGAATTTATTTTATTTGAGCTTACAATTCGAGGTGGCTGGAGGAGCAGAAGCTAAGCTCTCGCATCATCATGCAGGCACAGGAAGCAAGAGAGTGACTGGAGATCCAGCAAGGCATAAGAACGCTGTAAGCCCACCCCCAGTGACATGCTTCCTCCAGGAGAGCCACACCTTCTAAAACCTCCCAAAACAGTGCCATCATCTGGGGACAAAATGTCCAAACACTTGGAGTCTATGGGGGACATTTTTATTAAAACCATAGTGGTCATCCTTGATGGTCAACTTGATGGGATTTAGAATCATAGTGGAAACAAATCTCTGAGCATGTCTGTGAGGGATAATCTAGATTAGTTTAACTGAGGTGGGAGGATCCACCTTAACTGTGGGCAGTACCATTTCACAAACTGGGATCCAAGACTGAATAAATGGAGAAAGCAAACTGAGCACAGGCATTCATTTCTCTCTGCTTCCTGACTGAAGACGTGAGCAGTCTCACACTCCTGAGGCCGTGCCATCCCAGCCAAAATGGACTATACTCTGAAATTCCAAACCAAAATAAACCCTTTCTCCCTTAAGTTGCTTTAGTTAGCTTTTTCAATAAAAAAATATTTATTTATATTAATTAGAGCAAAGTAATTAACAAATTATGCCATAGAAATGAAAGCTAAGATAATCAGACACATAAAACAGTGTAACATAAATATTCTGATTTAATAAGAGTTATATATATATTTACATAATTCTTTCCAACAAATAACATATTAAAAGAAAATAGGCCAATATTTTATTTATATTTTTTCCAATTTACATAATAAAGCAAAATGTGTACAATTTTTTTCATGTTATATTTCTATTTTCTCTAGTTAAGGAAATCAAAATGTTACCTATTTATTTGCAAAATTATAATAGGTAACTTGTAAGTACAAGCTTATTTTAAAATAATTATAAGCTGTGGAAAACACATATGAAAATGTGTTCTAAAAGTTGCATAATCTGAATGAATTTACAAATAGAAACAATGAAAATTATAGTAGTGTATTTACCTTATCCTGAAAGGAGGTATTCTTTCAATTATGTGTATGTAAATAAAAGATCCTATTTCTTTTTAAGTGCCAAATTATTGAGACCCTTTAATTATTTATTTGAAAATCTCTTTTTAAAAATACAAAACAAATACTTACTTGAAAACTGAGTGTACTAACACAATGTCATCCTTGATAGACAATAATTCTGATGAATATCAATTACTTACAGACCTGTTTATCATGATATTTCTATATATATGGGATTTTTTTTCTCCTTCTCCATACATGGCTTTATGTTAGAATGTTTGTACAGAAGTTTATTTTCTGTCTTGTTCTCATTTCACAAATGTGCTCAGCTTGTCAAGATTGCCATTAGCTTCCAGTGTGAAAATCTTCCACTCATCCTGTGCTTCTGTACACAAGATGCAGAAAGGCTACCCTCTCCATTACCCTTGGCTCAATGGAGGCAGTATTTAAAAATGTGTCTGACTGATTGGAATATCTCAACTGAGGTATCATGTATATTTCCCTGCCTGTCTTGTGCTGTGATATTCCTTTGGTAGTTGAAATTGTCCACTTCCAAAATACCTGAATTTTTGGCTGTACTTTTCTACTTGACATTTGGTATTTAAGTGGTCCTGAGTTAAATAGGTCTAACCCTCTATTTCCTGGCACAGTGTATTTCTTATTTAACATTCAAGGGTGCTTGCAAACCTAACTCCTAACTCATTCCTCCTTCTTGAATTTCAGTTTATAAATGCTACAGGGTTCTGGAGTAGTCATTGACAACGTACAGATTACCACTAAGTAAAGCATCTTAAGTTCTGTGAGTTCTAGTGCTACTGTCAGATCTTTCCTCTGGATTTGTGCTGTCTTGATCATTAAGCTTATAAAGCACTAATCCAGGACACAATGACAGGGGAAAGATACAGCAAACCTGATTCAATTAGCACCATCATTTTGCAAAACAACTCAAATATATGATCCTTCCAATCATCTTCGAAAAATCTTTATAATCATCTTTGAATAGCTCCTTTTTTCAGTACTGAGTATCAAATTTAGGCCTTGCACATATTAAGCAAGCACTCTACCACTGAACTGTATCCTTAGCCTTTCAACACTTTTTAAAATCAGGAATATGATTCACAATATTAGGTTATTTCTGTTGATGCTTGATGACCTATTTCTTCCACATTTTAAGAAAATTTGGCATGAATATGACATACACAGATGGAGTTTAGTCATGATGATATTAGGTTTATAAAATAATTTCCAGCAATGCAAAGAATAGAGTTTAATATTTTAACTAAATCATAATATCTGATGCCTACTAAATGAAATGCACAATTTAATTTTCTACAGGTATTGTGCTAAATGACTAGTTTTTAAAGTAGAATTTAAAATATTTAATATACAAACATTTGTCAATAGTGCATGACATCTTACCATGCTTAATTGGCACTTTTTATTACTGAAGTTGGTTCTTTCCTTTGAACATTGGTAACTGAATAATACTATCACAGAATCATAAATTTAATCATTAACAGTCAAAAATATCAACAAATTACCTCTAGAAGTTTTAAGTTAAATTGAAAATGTATAGTGAATGCTGCTATTTCTGAGTTCATACTATATTAGGACACAGAGAAAATAACTATCTTGTGTTCTCTCTAATAGAAAACATTGTGAAAACAAATGCCATAAAAGTAGATTCAATTTAAAAACAAATTACATTGTAAAGCTGCTTTTAAATTCATCAACTTTAAATAATTTGCCAATTAAGTTCAAACTATTTGACAATGAAAATTAAAATTTAATGTTATAGAAAGAATTAAAAACCATGACTGTGAACCATTGGTTGATGACACTCAGCTGTGGTCCCAGCACTTGGGATGTTGAAACAAGAGGAGGAAGAGAGCAAGATCATCCTTGGCTACATATGGAATGTGTAAAATCCTCTTAAAAAACAAAACAAACAAGTAAAAATAACAATTTAAGTTTCTTTTTGATGGCTGTGCTGTTTTAATGTAAACTTTTAACTAATGTTGGCTGGCTGTATTCTTGTTACTACCTGGATATTTCATAGCTAGACAGTGGAAAATAAGTAAGAATCTGTGTTGTTTGAGGTTTTTGATTAAAAAAGAAAACCTCAAAGAGAACAGGCCTGATTTTTGAATTAAAACAAAAAAGAGGAGTCCATACATAGGAAAACACACACACACACACACACACACACACACACACACGCACGCACACACACATGTGCATGCACATATGCATCCCAAAGAAAACAAAACAAAAAAACTTTCAATTGTGGAACATGGACTTTTAAGCCCTCATCATACAGGGTGGATAATGCTGTCCAATCTTGGTGGTTCTTACAAATGTAGGCAATTTTTCCAAAATAAAATCCTTTTTCACTTTCATTCATTTTCTGCTTTGTTGAGATCCTGTTCTATTGAAATAGTAGACACAACTGCGCTCTGACTTTGAAATGACACATCTGTGCCTGATGGTGGAGGTTTATACAAAAAGATTGCAAGTCCATTGAAGAACATGGTGATGATTTTACAAGTAACACCTTAAAACACAAAAAAGAAAAAAAAATCAATCACACATTTGAAACTTTAGTTGTTAACAAAAAATAGTTTCCATTGAGAAAATCTCTATAGAGATTGAAAATCTAAATAGAGACCTCCTACTTCTGAAAGAATAACTATACATCATAATGATTCCATATTTTCACACTTTAAACCACAAGAGAGGCTGAGTGTGTTAGCATATACCTGTACTCACAGTACTCAGGGGGCTAAAGCAAGAAAATCACAAACATGAGGTGAACCCAGAGGCTGCATAATTCAAAGCAGTTTAAAACAGAGCAAGACCCTATCTAAAAAAATTAAAAAACAAGGGAAAATAATTAAAATCTGTACATACAGGGCTTAAGAGATGGCTAAGGAGCTAATAGCTTTGGTTGCTCTTGCTGAGGACCCAGGTTCAAGTCCAAGTACCTATATGGGGGCTAGTAACCATCCTTAACTCCAGTTCCAGGGGATCTGAAGCCCATTTTGTCTTCTGCAGGCACTGCATGACATGTTTACACTTACATACATGCAGACATAACACTCATATAATAAAATAAAAATAAATCAAAATAATAAAATATTGTATATAATCCAATGAGTGAGAATTTGTCTAAATAATAAAAAAATATAATTGTTCTATTCTTGAGTAGAATTTTGCATTCTTACAAAATAAATGCTGTATATTACAAAAATCCTTAACAAATTTACATTTCTTTGCCCAATATCCTTGCTTTTGTGTTTTTCTTTCTGAGAGAGTTTTAGCTATATAGCTCAGGTTCACTCGTAACCCTGTGGTCTCAGCTTTCTCAAGGCCAGAATTATGGATGTGCCTCACAGCGCCTAGGCTGTCCTTCATTTCTAACTTTGTGGAAAAAAAAACCACCATATTTGTTAAGATTTACAAGCTGCCAAAAGTCGGTGGTGAAAAGAAATAGCTCACCATCCTTGAACTTGAATAATTTTCATTCCCAAATGGAAAATAATTGTACAAATACATAATGCTTCTGAGTTCTTAAGAGAAGCCTAGATATGAATATAGCATATTTAATACTTACCCAATTTCCTCTGCCATATGAGTAAAAAATGTATTCTATTAAGATTTATTATAGATCCTCATATTTACAGACAAGTGTACCTTTCATCTCTCATCAAAGAAACTTCTTTTTGCAACATTTGAAGACTCTTACAGAGTTCCAGAACTGGTCAAATGTACAGAATAAGTGTCTGTGGGACTCTTATCCCTATGTGACACATCTTCAAAAAGTGCTACACACAGGATGAATGCATCTCTTAACTCTCACCAGAGAAGATACTATGCACCTTACATAGTAGATAGTGATTAACACAGAAACCCACAATTGGCCAATATGATATACATATTTATATATATATATATATCTCAAATTGGGTAGGGGGAGCTGGGAAGGTGCAGATAGGGGAGAGGATTTAAATACTATCAAACTGTATTTGCAGGAAATTTGCAAAAATTCAATAAATAAATAAAGAGAAAAAAATTTACTGTACAGCTTTGATTTGATTTCAAATAATTCTGTGTTTTTAAGCACAGCTACATAAAAAGAAACTAGTGTTCAGCACAGCACTTAATAAGTGTCAGTCAAAAGTTCCAGGGGACTATGAGCATCTCTCAAAATGTCCTGCGACTGTGGTGAGTCACTTGTCCTCTTGAGCAAGGAGGCCATGGAGACTCCACCAGATGGACCTGAACCAGTGTCCAGTCTACAAAGAGGAGGGTCAACACAGAGGAATCATTTCCTCCACGCTACCAAGTGAAGCCAGCCATGGTCGACCAGGACCTTTGACTTATTGTCAGATGGAACTGGTAAAGAAAGGAGCCAGGGGCTCCTCGCAAGCCCATGTTACCCCTGAGGAACAGATCCTCAAATGACCTTAGGACTAAAAATAAATTATTTTATCTGGGAAAACTGTGTGGACTTAAACACCCCAAAGGAAAGTATAACCAAAGATTAATATAATCTTTGGGTCAATATAATTTTTAAGAGTCCATATGTATAGCTAAAGGCTACATAACAAGCAACAATGACAGACAGGTGAAACCTTCCTTTGAGTTATTTATTGGCCAAGGTGGTGCAAGAGACTCCCAGACAGTAACCCAGCATAGAACTGGGAAAATGAACATCAGACCCCAATCTTATCTAAAGGAATATTGACAACTGATTGCTGCTATATGAGGAACAGCTGATTTTCCTAAAACAAGGTTCTCTAGATAGGCTGACTAGATTCAGCAGAGGGACAAGCACTATAGAATGGCTCAGGGTGTCGACCACATAGAGGACAGTAACAGGGGTGACAGAGTATGTGAGTGGGTGCCATTTGGGAAGTGGGTATATAGATGAATAAGACTATGTGGGATGTTCTGTATGATATACACACAGAAAAATCAACAAATAAAAAAAGACTTATATTTAAGGAGGAAGCATAAAAAATTTACTTCATGTTAAATAGTAGAGGTGATAAACATTACCAGTGAAATCTACCTGATGACTTTATATCCATACTCAGGTACTAAGGATCCGAGGGTAACCAAATGTGACTAGTAATCATCAGATACATAGAAATTAAAGACACCTGTACAAACTTCAAAGTGTAGGTAGCATTAAATATGTAGGAAACAGCATATTTTAAAATGAAATGGAGATCTTCTTTAAAGGGTAAAAACTCACTCAACTGTATATCTTACAGGGTTTATACTGAGTTCAATATTGTATAACTGTATTGATTCAACTGTAAACCTAAAAATTTCCATCCACTTTTGAAAGAGATGTATCCCTGCTCTGGAGTGTGTTATTGAATATGCTAAAGCTGTAATTAAGTGCTTCTTCTCATCATGTGGTCATTAAATTTAAAAAAAAATTTAAAAATGATAATTCTTCAAAGCATAAAAATTTGCTCCTTAATAATTAGATGTGAAAAACATTACCATTGAAATCTACTTGATGACTTTATAGACATACACAGAGGCCAAGGCTCCAAGTGCAAACGATTATGATTAGTAATATTCAGATACATACAGATGAGACCCATGTGCCTACATCTTAGTCTTATTAGCAAAAACAATGAGTCTATAAGAAACAGTATATTTTAAAATGAAATGGAGATTTTTTTGTCATTTTGAGACAGGGTCTCCCTGTAGCCCCACAATTTGAAAGAGCTCTGGAAATTGTTATTGAATATGTCAATGTGGTTGTAATGAAATGCTTCTTCTAAATATGTGGTTACTAAATAAATAAAAAAATAAGTGTCAGTCAAATAGATTAAAAGTGATTTCATGGTATAGTCTTTCCAATGGCTGAATTTTTTTGTTAATCATGAATATTTAATTTAAAATCTGTATCTGAAAAATAGGAATTCTTATTGATACAAGCATTACAAGAATTGTAAGAAGATTACTTCCACAGATACAACTAGTTAATTTTGTTGTTGATTTGTTTTTGAGAATATAAAGTCATATATTTGGTGGTGGAAGAGTTCTCACATGAACCACTGAGTAGAAGGAACATTTAACAAATATTTTAGCAAAAAACACCAAAAGCAAAACTAATTAAACAAATCTTAAACATGAGCAGGCTGAATAAAAAGTTTTGAATAATAGGTAAAAATGACAGGAGGATTAATTTTATCAAGTCTATTTAATACTACAGTGAATGTGAACATATATTTATTTATTCAGTAGATACTGTGTTACTATAATTATGAATTTAGATAGTGTATTCTGGTTTTATATCTATGTAAGAGTGATAACCTTGTCATGACATATGTTAAAATATCAATGAAAATCAAATGACATTTATGTATATTTGAAATTTCTCTATATTTTGTTTTGCTTTGTGAGACAATGTCTCACTGTTAGCTTAGGTTGTCCTGGAATTCAGTATGTAGCCCAGACTGACAACAAACTTATAGCAAGCTTCTTGCTTCAACCTCCCAAGTGCTAGGACTACAGGCATGCACCTACTGCTCAGCTAAGATTTCTCTGTATTTAAACATCGTAATGTCTGGTTTTGTTTTGAAAATTTTAACTGTCAAATTTTAACTAACTAGATGTGCACTTCCTTAATATTATCTTTTCATTTATCATTTAGTGAAGAACATACAGACCATAGTTGTCAAAAATAATTAAATATGGCAAACCCTTGAACCTATAAAACACTTCTTGCAGTATGCCTTTGAGCTTCAGGACACTCTCCTGCTGCAAGTTTATGTGTTTTACCTAGATGACAGTCATTATATGTTTCCGAAATTCTCTTTTATCTTTTTGAGAACACTTTTCTGAGGGAAATTGTGAAAAGAAATAACATGATACATGACATACTGAAAACTAAAAATGTATTCTCTTCAAAGCTGCTGATATTGTGCATGATGATCCCACAGGAAGGCTTGAACATCCCTCCAAACCTGGGACATAGTTTTGAGAACTGACATGTGATTATCAGTTGGTAACTCTAAAATCACTAAGTGCCACTTACTTATGGCTACCAGCATATGTGCCATCTTGATGTTATCATAAATCCAACAAGCTCCTTTAATTCCACATTCATTAATATCCCAGAGAACACATGTGCTGTCTATTGTGACACCAAATATAATTGGTCCAGGTATTGTGCCTAGGAGAATTAAAGCAAATAAAAATAGATAAAATTAAAGCTTATAATTATGCTTTTTAAAATATCTATAGTTATACATGTTTATAATGCAATAGGCTTTAATCTATCCATGTGCAAATCAGCCAATTTTTAAAAATATGTTTTTATTGAATTTTTCTGTATTTTATACAGGATATCACAAAGAATCTTAATCATTTTTATACCCCCATCCCCACCAACACAATCCTACATAAGTCAAGGTATATGAAGAAACATAGATTAAATTGTTTAACTTTATATGCAATTACATAGTCTAATCAATTAACAAAAGAACATTAAGGGTATGGTGGCGCACATCTGCAGTCCCAGCACTTGGGAGGCAGAGGCAGGCAGATCTCTGTGAGTTCAAGGCCAGCCTGATCTACATAGTGAGTTCCAGGACAGCTGGGGTTACAGGGAGACCCTGTCTCAAAAAGACAAAAAAAAAAAAAAAAAACATTAAAAGAAAACTTAACAGTAAGGGTGTTTGCCTCTAGGCCTGACAACCTGAATTTGATTCCCAGAACCCATGTGGTAGAAGAACAGAACAGACTCTTGCAAGTTATCCTCTGGCTACATGTGCACTGTGGCATATATGCACCTACATGCATACACACACAATAAATATAAAAAGTTTAAAAATTTTTTAACATTAAATCTGGTTATGATTTGGTTTAGAAAATATTTTATTTTTTAACTGTTACAAAATCATAAAACTATAATAAAAGGCACCATGTAATGTTTGGTACATGTATACGCTGCATAATCTCTAAATCAGGGTAAATATACTCACATCAATTTTTATAGTGAAAACTTTCAAAGATACTTCTCCCTGGCTCTTTAAAATGTTAGATTAGTAAATATTTTATTTCACTATTTCCATAAAGAAAAAATGAGTTGTCTTTTAAAACTAGCTATTATAGATTTAGAAAATAAAAAAATTGCAAAAAATGGGTCTGATGAACTGCTATTGACATTTTATGTATATATATATATATATATACACATACATACATGTATGTAATATAAACTAATGTGTACCTGTGTCTATATAAGCTAACATGAATATGCATGAGCATATATGTCTGCATGTAGATATATACATTCAAGCTAACAGATATAGGAGTATTACTTTGTTATATACACACACACACACACACA